ATGATGTCATTTTTTTCGTATAGGAAAAAAGAAGTCTCAGTTTATGAGGCACGTTTTTCGTACAGATAAAAATTAGAGAGGCCTCATGTAACATTATTTTTCGTATAGAAAACAAATCGTAGACCTCATTTCATGAGTCTTTGTATAGAACAAATCTGAGGCCTCAGTTGTGAGTCCATTTTTATACCCTTCACCACAGTGTGGTTCAGGGTATTATGTCTTTGTGCATATGTTTGTAACAGGCAAAAATAATTGAGAATATGCATAGAATCACTTTCTGAGTCGATTTATGCATGTCCGTCCGTCCGTCTGTCCGTCCGTCCATGTATTTTTGTTAACAAAGTACAGGTCGCATTTATGATCCGATTTGGATGAAATTTGGCACAGGTCACTTAATTGGCCCAAGGACGAACCCTATTGAAAATGGGAAAAATCGGTTCAGATTTAGATATAGCTCCCATATATATTTTCGTCCGATTTAAAGTAAATGGTGTACCAAAGTCCCTATATAACTTTCGATTTGCACGAAATTTGGCATAGATTACTGAATTAGGTCCAGATTGATGTGTGCCAAGTTTCGAGAAAATCGGTTCATATTTCGATATAGCTCCCATATACAGTTTCGTCCGATTTAAGGTAAATGGTGCACCAAAGTCCATATATAACTTTCGATTTGCACGAAATTTGGCACAGAGTAATGAATTAGGTCCAGAATGATGTGTGCCAAGTTTCAAGAAAATCGGGTCAGATTTAGATATAGCTCCCATATATAGTTTCGTCCGATTTAAGGTAAATGGTGTACCAAAGTCCCTATATAACTTTCGATTTGCACGAAACTTGGCATAGATTAGTGAATTAAGTCCAGAATGATGTGTGTCAAGTTTCGAGAAAATCGGTTCAGATGTAGATATAGCTCCCATATATAGTTTCGTCCGATTTAAGGTAAATGGTGCACCAAAGTATCTATATAACTTTAGATTTGCACGAAATTTGGCACAGAGTACTGAATTAGGTCCAGAATGATGTGTATGAACATATATAGCTCCCATATATAGTTTCGCCCGATTTAAGGTAAATGGTGCACCAAAGTCCCTATATATCTTTCGATTTGCACGAAATTTGGCACAGAGTACTGAATTATATGAACATATATAGATTGATATGTTTTGAGTTTCCTGAAATCGGTTCAGATTTATATATAGCTTCTATATCTGACCAAATGAAAAATTTAGTATCGGCTGCAGAATGACATGTTTATGTATCCAATTTCATTTTACCTGTCCTTTAAAAATCTGTTAGGATTCATCTGTTGAATATACCCAAAGTGGTGAAGGGTGTCATATAGTCGGCCCGTCCGACTTTACTACTTTCCTTACTGGTTTTCATATAGAAAACTCTCTGAGACTCTTCAGTTCATGACGCAATTTTTTTCATATAAAAAAATAGAGAGTCCTCAGGTCTTTAGTTTCGAAATAAAATCAAATTTATTTAGAGCAGAAAATTATGTTTGGAATAAAACGACCAATCTATGCAAGAAACATCATACACCCATTGGCAATGATGATGATAACGAAATTGTTCCATTGTGCTTTAAGATTTTTTTTTTATCTTTTGTTGGTTGTTCCCCATCATGCGTAACAATTATGTAATTTGTTACAGTTGTAAATTAATACCACTCTCGACCACAAAAAATTAACTTTATAATTTTCCATATATTTGTATGCTGCTTATGTAAAACTAATGTTTTTCCAAAGGGGCGGGGGGTGGAGAAGGAAGGTGGATAAGTCCAAAGTATTTCATGGCACAGCGATACGATTTAAGGTTTACATTTTCACAGCTTTTGGAGGGAACAAAATCGTTAAAAGAAAAATCCCTTCTTTCTATTAATGTCTTAAATCGGATTAAGGTAAATGACCACTTACTTAGGAAAGAAATCTAACAAAAGGGTGTAAAAACTATTTATGGTACGTGTGTGTGTGCGTTTGAAGGTAAATCTGCCCACGTTTTCTTTTAGTTTTATTTGTTCTCCTACTTGGTTTACATTTGGTTTCATATTCTGGCCTCTGACAAACTGCTAGACAAGCTGGCTAGATGGTTGTCTGGTTGGTGTATGGGCCACCGTAAATTGAGTTCTCAAAGTTAGTGGCAGTAATGCCTGTCAAACGACAGACCAGGCTAACGTAATTTAATATGTTTGTGTCTCCTTCTTTGGTTTTCAGATTTCTAAATATTTCCCCTTTACTGTGACGTTTATAAGCCATTGATGCAATCTGAATTGCAGCTAGGGAATATCTCATCCCCTTCTTTTGCTGATTCTTCCATCAAAAGAGAAACCACAAATATTTGCCCAGAAAATAAAATATTACTTTGCATTCTTTTTTACATAGTATTTTGAAAAATGCCTTAATAACTATTTTCCATAAGAACTGAAGTCTCTCGGATTTTTTTATACAAAAATAATCTTTAGAAACCGAGGTTACAGATTTTTCTATAGAAATAAAACCTCATTAACTTTGGTCTATACAAAGAAAAAACTCTTAAACTCAGGTATCTCGGATTTTTTTCTGTGCGGAAAATACCTCATGAACTGAGGCCTCGTAAATTTTTTTTCTACGAAAAACTGAAGCCTCCGATTAATATTTTATTCGAACTGAGGCCCCTGATTTTTTCTATACAAAAAAAATGCCCCAGAAACTGAAGCCTCAGATTTTTTCCTCTCCGAAAAAAAAATTATTCAGAAACTGAGACCCCCAGTTTTTTAATACGAAAAATGCCCCATAAACTAAAGATTTATGATTTCCTTAGGAACTGACGCCTTTGTTTTTATTTTTATACGAAATTAATGTCTGATGAACAAAGTCCTCCGAGTTTTTTCTTTCCATTTTTTCCTATTCAAAAAATGCATCAGGCCTGCGAATTTTGTTCTATACGAAAACAATGGTTTCATGAACCATGGCCTCCGATTTTTTAATTAAAAAATGAACTGTGACCTCAATTTTTTTCTATACGAAAAAATTGCTTCATGGACTGAGGCCTCCAAATTTTTTTCTATACGAAAAATGGCCTCATGAAGAAACCACAAATTCTCTCTTAGGCCTCCAAAATGTTTTCTATATTTTTTCTAAAATATCCTCATGAACTGAGGTCTCTGATTTTTTTCCTGTACGAAAATGAACTGTGGCATCTCGGATTTTTTTCTATAGAGAAAAATTAGGCTCTCCGATTAATTCTTAAAAGAAAAAATGGCCTCATGAACTAATCTCTCCGATTTTTTTATGCGAAAAAATTAGCCCCGTGAAGTAAGGCCTCCGATTTTTTTATACAAAAAAAATGCATCAGGCCTGCGAATTTTGTTCTATACGAAAACAATGGTTTCATGAACTGGGGCCACAGATTTTTTAATGAAAAAAAATGGACTGTGGCCTCCATTTTTTTCTATACGAAAAAATTGCCTCATGGACTGAGGCCTCCAATTTTTTTTATACAAAAAAATTCTCTCTGAGGCCTCCAAATTGTTTCTATATGAAAAAACGTCCTTATGAACTGAGGTCTCTGATTTTTTTCCTGTACGAAAATTAACTGAGGCATCTCGGATTTTTTTCTATACAGAAAAATTAGGCTCTCCGATTAATTCTTAATACGAAAAAATGGCCTCATGAACTAATCTCTCCGATTTTTTATGCGAAAAAATTAGCCCCGTGAAGTAAGGCCTCCGATTTTTTTATACAAAAAAAAAAAAAAAATGCATCAGGCCTGCGAAGTTTGTTCTATATATATATATATATAAAAATGGCCACATAAATTGATTGATTGCCTCTGATTTTTTCTTATACGAAATAAATTACCTCATTAACGAAGGAGTCCAAAATGGCCTTCTGTCTACACGAAAAAAATGGTCATATTCCCTGAACCGATTTTTTTGTTTTTTACCCTCTAAGATCCCGAAATTCCACAGTACAGCTACTTCGGTGGGAAATTCCGATCATGACCTCCAACAAACCGAAAATGTTGCCGGATCATTTTTAATAGATCTTCTATAAAAAAAAATGTCTCATGTCTCCTTTCAGGCCATGGTGCCCTATCCTAAGTGGTAAGACTGCCATCTATAGTTGCATAGAAACAACACTTCCTTGCATTTTGGGAAGTGGTTTGGGTTCTTCCTTATTTAGTGTTGATATTTCAATCTAGTCTGGTTAAGCTCGAAAATGGACTACATCAGTCCATTTTTTGGCATAGGTCCTCCGATTTTCGATATTCTCACAGAATTTAACATTGGTTGACTTATTTTCTTTAGAAAAAAAATGCCGAGGACTTCGTTTTTTTTCAATAGAAAAAGTGCATCATTAAGTGCTACCTCCGATTTTTGTTTTTCATTGAAAAATATAGTCAATTACTTAGTCCTCGTATTTTTTCTATAGAAAAATTTCATATTTTTTTAGAAAAAAAGTCTTTTGCAGAAGACGTGATTGAGTTTTTAGACTTAGAGGGCATTATTGGTATTTTATCTTTAGGAAACCTCAGTGATATTCTACAATTGATGTCTTCCTATTTCTTAAATTATTTTTCTTTGGTCTTATTATGATGATCCACAGTTTGCTTAATAACATTTTTGTTTTTTTTTCTGTTCTGTTTTATTTTTTGTTCTTGTTTTTTCATTCAAGCCCCTTACCTTAGCATACTTTTATCGGACAACCCCTGAAGGTTGGTGTTAATTTCTTCACACAGAGCCCGGCATTCATGGCCGGCCCATTCAGAAGAAGAAAGAATTCTTGAATCTCAAATGAAATAAAACAAGAAGACAATGAGACAGACGGAGACGGAGGAACAAGTGTTTAATTCACTTGTTATACACCTATATAAATATTGTTGTTATTGTTATTGTTGTGTATAGCCTTCATTCTGCCTTTGGCTTAATTGCCGTGTTTGCTTAGTGTTATGAACTAATCTTTGTTTTTTTTGCTTGCTTTTTTTTTTGCTAATTTTTTTCCCTTCTCTTTTCTTTTCAGACTTGGCATAAAACATGTTTCAAATGCACAGAATGTGCCATGGCATTGAATATGAAAACGTACAAAGGTTTCAATAAGATGCCCTATTGCGAAGCGTAAGTACTACTTGGTTATATTATTTTGATTTTCAAAATTTTAGTCCTTGGAGGGATGAGTAGATTTGTTAAAGGAAATGGACTTTGGCATTTGTATTTTTTTAAGGTTACTTTAAAAAATTGTTCTTATAATATTCTGAAAATATTTAAAGCCTTTAATTGCCCAATACTTAATATTGCTCAATAAAATTATATATCATGGATCTTAAAAACATCACATTGTGACAAATTAAACCTTCATATTATATTGTTTTGAAAATGTATTTATCATTTCGTTGGCCATGAATAATGATGATGAGGTCTTTGTTCGCTCGCTCTGTACTGATGATAGTACTCGAAAAGGCAAATATGAATGCGCAAATTGACGTGAAAAATATATCTATTTGTAGCCAGTTGTTTGGATTGCCGTTTATCTTATCACACAACCTACAGCCATACAAACAAATGCCCATATTCATCCATTTCATATCATCATCATCATTCATCGTCAACCCTTCCAGCTGTTTGTCTTCTTATCTATTATCCACATTCATAATTATAAGGAAATGTATACGCAATTGTTGCAACATAACACTACGTGGATAAATATATCAGTTTTCCACATATGAGGTAGAATAAATTCCTTATTTTTTGCAGGCCTCATGAACTGAGGCCTCTGATTTTTTTCTATAGAAAAAATGGACTCATTAAAAAATGGCCTCATCAACTGCGGCCTCTGATTTTTTTCTAAAAAAAAATGGCCTCATTAGGTGGGGCCTCTGATTTTTTCTATAGAAAAAATGGCCTCATTAACTAAGGCCTCCGATTTTTTTGCCTCATGAATTATTGTCTCAGATTTTTTCTATAGAAAAAAATTCCACATGAACGAATGCTCCTGATTTTTTTTCTATAGAAAAAATGCCTCATGGACTGATGCCTCTGATTTTTTCTATAAAAAAACTGAGGTCTCTGATTTTTTCTATGGAAAAAAATGTCTCATTAACTGAGGCCTCTGATGTTTTTCTTAAGAAAAAAATGCCTCAAAAACTTTCTATATAAAAAATGCCTTATGAACTGAGGCCTTTGTTTTTTTCTATAGAAAAAATGCCTCATTAAGTGAGGCCACTGATGTTTTTCTATAGAAAAACAATGCCTCATGGGCTTAGGTCTCTGATATATTTTCATGAACTGAGACCTCTGAGTTTTTCTATAGAAAAAAATGCCACATTAACTGAGGCCTCTGATTTTTTCTATAGGAAAAAATGCCTCACTACCTGAAGCCTCTGATTTTTTTTTTTGAAAAAATGGACATTAACTGGGCCAAAATTAAGACCAATTTGTTTTTTTTTTCTTAAAATGTCATGAATAGGCATAAAATATTTTTCTATAGAACAAAATGCCTCAACCCCATTTTGGATTTCTGATATATGCTTTGACATTATAAACATGTATGCAAAAAATTCCACATTAACTGCAGTTAATGAGTTTATAGGAAATAAACTCACTATTGAAGCCTCAAGATATTTTTCCACGTCTAGAAAAAAAGTATCGTAAAACTATGCATTCTAAATCGATTTGATAGCAAAAACCCGGAAATAGGGTGTTAGATGTTGTTTTTCCTAAAAAAATATATAAATAACCAAATATAATGCCTCATTAACTGAGGCCTGTGATTTTTCTCTATAGAAAAAAAGGCCTCAATAACTTAGGTCTCTGATATATTTTCATGAACTATGGCCTCTGATTTTTTTTCTGTAAGGAAAAAATGCTACTAATGGCTAGATCACATTTTCTTTGTGGCCCAATTTTTATAAAAAAAAATGTCAGAATATCTTTTTCTGAAGAAAAAAGATGTAGAAAAATATAACAAAATAGTTGTCATAATTTGAGAATTTTTCCCATAGAAAAAAATCGCCCTTAAGGGAACAATTTGGCCCATAGCTTCAGAGGGGTTATTTCTTTAAAGAAAATTGACCCTAGCTTCTTTTTCAGAGGCCGAAAAATTTACACCGAAAATGGAGCGAGAGTGATATACCAAAATATGAACCAATATAGGTTCATGTCTTGTTGTGAAGAACCTGGTAAAACTTGGAGCTACGTCAAAATATGGCGGGATAATGCAGCTACATTGATTTCTTTTGGTTAGGTATATGGACTTCGGCTTCTTCGAAGACTCCTATAGAAAAATGTTGGGCCCAGATTACCTCTGAGCTTCATTTTTTTATAGAACAAATGGGATTTCGTTTTATTGTGAGCCTATTTCCGATGCTAACTATTTTCTGTAAAAAATATTGGGTCTCCGCTTCTGCGGAGTCTCATTTTGAAGTTTGATTTTGTAGTTTTTTTTGTGTTTTTTTTTTTTGCAATAAAAAATATATCAAAGCAGTCCAGGGCCATTCTGTCCATGGCATCTCCTGTTTATATTTTGTTTTTCTAACCATTATCCCTCCTGTCCATAAGTATCTATTTGCCCCCTTAATCGGATCGTAAATTTAAATAAGAGAGCAATTATTTGTATTCCACTTTGTTTGTGTGGAGTAGTTAGTGCTGCTGCTGCTCAACAAGGCCATCCTCATCATCATCTTTAAAATTTTACACTCAGCGGCTCTATTTATACGGTCATTACAGACATTTGCTCCACTCCACTCATTACTTAGTTACCCAGAAAAATAAATGCAGATAGTTGAGGAATGTTCCACAAACGACATCCGACCGAAATGATGGCTGACGACGACCTACCACTAAGCAGATGCTGCTGCTACGGTTGGCGGCTACTGCAGCAACAACCGCACAATGCAATAACAATAGATTTATTACATTTTAAAAATAACAACAACAGCAACAACAACGACATGCTACCAACACACAATGGCCAGAATGACTCAATGCTCCTTTGCAATTTATATGTGTATGTAAGTGCGTTAGTAGGTTGCTGGATAGCGGATGGATGTGTTGGCATTCCTGTGTATCGTGTATCTGCATCAGCGACTCCTGGAGAGCCATAATCAAAACTAAACGAAGTGAAGCTGTTTTGTTTGTCGCAGCCATCAACTCGGTTACTCGTCATAGATTCTATACCGAGGAACTCACTCGGTGGTTTATTTCCGAATTTTAATGTGAAGATGCATCATAGATTTTTTATTAAGGAAAGCGGAGACTATCCTAATTGTGGCCTAGATATAGAAATAATTTTTTTAAGGATAATTAGAGCTATATACTGAGATTTCTTAAAGAAGATTTTTCAAATGATCCGCTGATGGCTGAAAACGTAGATATTTTAAATATATTTTTCTAAGGAGGATTTTTTAAAGAATATTTTTCAAAGGATCGGCTGAGGAGTGGAGTTTTTAAAAATATTATTTAAAGGATCGCAAAGGGTGGATTTTTTTTAAAGAATTTTCTTCAAAGGATCGACTAAGGCGTGGATTTTTTAAAGAATATTTTTCCATGAATCTGCACAATTTGTCAAAGGATCGACTAAGGCGTGGATTTTTTAAAGAATATTTTTCCAAGAATTTGCACAATTTGTCAAAGGATCGACTAAGGCGTGGATTTTTTAAAGAATATTTTTCCAAGAATCTGCACAATTTGTCAAAGGATCGACTAAGGCGTGATTTTTTAAAAAATATTTTTCCAAGAATCTGCACAATTTGTCAAAGGATCGACTAAGGCGTGGATTTTTTAAAAAAATATTTTTCCAAGAATCTGCACAATTTGTCAAAGGATCGACTAAGGCGTGGATTTTAAAAAAAAAAAAAATATTTTTCCAAGAATCTGCACAATTTTGTCAAACGATCGACTAAGGCGTGGATTTTTTAAAAAAATATTTTTCCAAGAATCTGCACAATTTGTCAAAGGATCGACTAAGGCGTGGATTTTTCAAAGGATCGACTGAGGCGTGGATTTTTTAAAGAATTTGTTTCCAAGAATCTGCACAATTTTTCAAAGGATCGACTCAGGTGTGGATTAAAAAAATTCAAAGGATCGACTGAGGCGTGGATTTTTTAAAAAAATATTTTAAGAAAGATCGACTGAGACGTGGATTTAAAAAAAATATATTTTTTAAAGGTTCTGGATTTTTTAAAAATATTTTTCAAAGGTTCTGGATTTTTTAAAAAATATTTTAAGAAGGATCGACTGAGGCGTGGTTTTATTTAAAAATATTTTTCAAAGGTTCTGGATTTTTTAAGGCGTGGATTTTTTTAAAGAAGGATCAACTGAGGCGAAGATTAAAAAAAAAATTAAAAAGGTTCTGGATTTTTTAAAGAATATTTTTAAAATATTCTGGATTTTTTAAAGAATTTTTTTAAAGGATCAGCTCGACTATTGCGTGGAATACTTTTGTAATGCTCAAGATTTTCTAAATAATATTTTTATATATCATTTTAAGAAGGATCGACTGCGGCATGGATTCTTTTAAAAAAATATTTTTCAAATGTTCTGGATTTAAAATAAATTTAATAAGGATCGACTGAGGCGTGGATTTTTTAAAAAAATATTTTAAGAAGGATCGATTGAGGCGTAGATTTTTTAAAAAATATTTTAAGAAGGATCGATTGAGGCGTAGATTTTTTAAAAAATATTTTAAGAGGGATCGATTGAGGCGTAGATTTTTTAAAGACTATTTTAAAAATATTCTTGATTTTTTTAAAAAATATTTTAAGAAGAATCGACTGAGGCGTGGATTTTTTTAAAGAATATTTTAAAAATGTACTGGATTTTTTTAAAAATATTTTAAGAAGGATCGACTGCGGCGTGGATTCTCTTAAAAAAAATATTTTTCAAATGTTCTGGATTTTTTAAAGAATATTTTTCAAATATTCTGATATTTTTTAAAGAAACTTTTTAAAGGATCGGCTCGGCTATTGCTTGGAATACTTTTGAAAGGCTCAAGATTTTCTAAATAATATTTTTCGAAGGATCGGCACAGCAATAAGTTAGGATTTATTAAATTCCATTTTCAAAGACTTGGGGTTTTTAAAAAATAGATTTCGAAGGCAGCTCTAATTTTTAAACTTTGT